GGAAACAAAATAGATTTTATCATTATTTTGATTTTCAGTGTATTTTTACATATTATCCCCACATTATAACATTGAGTTGTTGAAGTAAAATCAAGCATCTTAGAAATAAAGGAATTAAAGCGCAAAAAAAAATAATTGACTTACAGCATTTTTTTTTTTTTTGCATTGTTGACTTGGCTAAGCTAGCGTTGTTTCTAGAATCCTCTATCCTGTACTTTGTTAATTGGCCCCAAAGATAAATTCCTGTAAGTTTCAGACGGTAAAAGTGATTGAGCAGTCAGTCTTTAGTCTGTGAAATCTCTTGTATTAGAGGCCATGAATCACAAATGAAAAGACATTGGCAGATTCCAGCTAGTTCTTGCTCTTCTTGGCTTCATGACCACCTCTCTCCCCCAGTATGAACCTTGCTGAACAAGAGGAACCCAGGCCCATCAGATATGTAGAGAGAGCAGCTCTCCACGGTCTTTACCAGGTCTTCTTTGCAGACCCACTTGGGCAGCCAGAACGGCCTTGTTTTAAAAGGGCTGCTTGTTGACTTTTGTCTGACTCCACTTTTCCCTTTTAGAACTTTATGACCCCAGCAATATACACAATTCAGGGGAAGTGATATCATATAATAACCCCCTCCTGCCACAATATGTATACTCATTTTAGATTTCTGACTGAGTCCGAGACACCGCTTTGATGAGATCACACTGCTATTAAATGTCAGTACCAGAAATCACATTTGAGTTGAAATCAATCAATGTTGAAAGGAAGAATAAGATTTCTTTGAAAATCAGGGGATCTAGGGGCGCCTGGGTGGCTCAGTCGGTTGGGCGTCCGACTTCAGCTCAGGTAACAATCTCGCGGTCCGTGAGTTCGAGCCCCGTGTCGGGCTCTGGGCTGATGGCTCAGAGCCTGGAGCCTGCTTCCGATTCTGTGTCTCCCTCTCTCTCTGCCCCTGCCCCGTTCATGCTCTGTCTCTCTCTGTCTCAAAAATAAATAAAACGTTAAAAAAAAAAGAAAATCAGGGGATCTAGGGCATGTGTTTACTAAAAGGATGTTAGAGAGGGGGAATGAAAGGTTTTAAGGAAAATAGAAGAGAGAAAATGTGGGAGAATCTAGCAGGACAGAATGATTCATGCTTAAGGATGTTTCCATGGTAGCCAATGGTGTTGACCAGCTGGCTGATTGTATCAGAAAATACTGATATAACTCGTAATATGGAAAACACTCAAAGCTCCACATCCCTAACATATACTGAAGAGGAAAACATCTTGGTTCTGCCAAAATAAAATTGGTTATTTTTTTGGTAACATAAAACCCCAACATTTCAGTGGATTACCCAACAAGGGTTTGTAATTTATTCTAGCCGAGTCTGCATCCAGAGAATAAACAAGATTAACTGTCCTACAAACAGTATAGGCTTTCAGAAGGGGGTAAGTGCTGCCAACTTGGAGCAACACCCATCAGATACATCTTGCTTTGTTGGTGATCTCAGAAAAGGAGGCACCTGTCAGATCACGGGTAGTTTGTCCATGATTTGGACCAGAAGTTATACATGCACATTCTGCTCACAGCCATTGGACAGAGCTAAACATAAGGCCATACACCTTCAAGCCGATCAATAATGCAGTCTTATTGGTGCATAGAAAGGGAAGAAAAATTACATACTGGTGAATACCGACAATATTCTTTCCATATAGCCTAGTATTTGAAATAATTGACTTAGGCATAGGGCTTTATGGTATTGGGCACATTCAAGTTTTTAGAGCCTCAATTTTCTCATTTATACAATGGAAGGCAATAACAGAACAGTTATGGAGTCAAATGAGGTCATTACTGCAGGCTTATGGCCCTCATAATATTAGTCTTCATTATCACCATCAATACCATTCTCTGTATCACTAGCTCTTTACAGCATGTACTCCCAAGGCTGGTAGTTTGACAACTGTTACTAATATGCATAGAAACATAGAATATTAGAGCAGGAACGGATTTTAGGATTTTAGAGATTACCTAATCCGGTCCTATTCTTCTTTTTCTTTCTTTTTTTTTTTTTTTTTTTTTTTTATGAGAAAAGAGATGCCCCATCAGGTTAAAGAACCTACGAAGGTCCAAATCTCCTTAGCGGCAGAATTGGTACCAGATGTCTAAACCCAGTGTCTTTTGTTCTCAGTTTAAGAAAACTGTAACTTTGTGTCAAGCATGGACTAAAGAGATCCAAATCTCTCTCCTGTACTGTTAAACCTGTTCCATGTTACCTCTTCTCATTTTAATCTATTCATTAATTGACATTTTGTAATTAATTAAAATAGTCCCCAAAGGTGCCAGTTTAATGACTAAGTGTGGCAGAAGTATGCTGATGAAATCAAGCCCTGACAGCCTAAGAAAATAGATTTTCCAATTTCTAAGAACCAGTCACCAAAAGAAATGTTGCTTCCTTAGAAAAATTAGGGATTTTAATGGTGGCAAATGAATTTAAAAAGTAAAATAATGGAAATTAATAAATCATTTTGCTTACAATATTCAAAAAAACATTGAAAAGAAGGTAACATCTGACTTATAATGCTGCCAATGATTTTTTGATCTCCCCTACTCCCCAAAACTCCCCTACAACAAAACTATATATATATATATATATATGTATATATATATATATAAAGTTACCAAACTAGGTATCAAGAATACAACTAACCTCCCTGCTATTATGATCTTTTTTGCGAAGAAATTTGTACCACCCAGACGTGTATGGATAGGATAGAAAATGCCAGGCAACAAAAGCGTGTTAACTTGCCTAATAATTGTGTAAGATATAAAATGCTAAATGCCAAAATGGCTAAATTCCATTTCAACATTAGAAAGGCTACTACAAAGGGGCGCCTAGGTGGCTCAGATGGTTGAGCATCTGACTTCGGGTCAGGTCGTCAGCTCATCAGTTGATGAGTTCGAGTCCCGCATTGGGCTCTGTGCTGACAGCTGAGAGCCTGGAGACTGCTTCAGATTCTGTCTCCCTCTTTCTCTGCCCCTCCCCTGCTCATGCTCTGTCTCTGTCTCAAAAATAAATGAATATTAAAAAAAAAAAAAAGATTCAAAAAAAAATAAAAATAAAAGAAATGCTATTAAAAAAACTTTCTACCACTTTTCGTATAAAATCAAAGTTTTTCTTTTTAATGAGTTACCTACAGATAAATAAGAACTTCATCCAGACTCACAAAATGACTGATCAAGAAATATGCTCACTATCTCTGTGAAGTGCTGTTGATCCTATTGAGAGAGAGAAAGACAGAGAGAGAGAGAGAGAGAGAGAGAGATGGCTCTATGTGTGTGTATGTGTTTGGGGAGGGACAGATTAGAAGGTGAAGTAGACAAGGAACAAAGAGTCCTGTTTAGGGTGTTTTAACCTTGTCAGATAATAAAAATGCTGATGTAAATTCAGTTAAAACTGCAACATTGCATTACCACCAAAGAACAGCAATTGAATCGCATTCTTATTTTAGGTTAAAGAGACTTACTTAGATGTTAAAATGTATAAATGTGTGTCACGTAAAGAAATTGCATTCAAAACCTGTATCTTCATTAACACATATTAAGAATCACAATCATGGAGTGGGGTGGGGGCCTGGGTGGCTCAGTCAGTTAAGCATAGGATTTAGGCTCAGGTCCTGATCTCACCATTCATTCACCCATCCTGGGTTCCTGCACCATGGCATTCTGCGCTGACAGTTCAGAGCCTGGAGCCTGCTTCAGATTCTATTTCTCCCTTTCCCTCTCTGCCCCTCCCCTGCTTGTGTTCTCTTTCTCTCAAAAGTAAATAAATAAATATTAAAACAAAAAAAAAAAGAATCACAACCACATTGGTCAGGCATTTCTCAATGAAGTTAAAGAAACTCATTAAAAAAAAAAAGTCATAATAGGGGCACCTGGGTGGCTCAGTCGGTTAAGCTGAAGCTGACTTCAGCTCAGATCATGATCTCCTGGTTAGGAGTTCCAGCCCTGTGTTGGGTTCTGTGCGGACAGCTCAGAGCCTGGAGCCTGCTTCGGATTCTGTGTCTCCCTCTCTCTCTCTCTGCCCCTCCCCCCTGACCCTCTGTCCCTCTCTCCTTCAAAAATAAATAACTATAAAAAAATTTTTAAAAAGTTATAATACATTACTATGATATAGAACAGAATGGGCGTGGGGGTGTGTGTACCTCCATTCCAGAACTAACTGCTTTCCTGAATAATGGACTAAAGACCAATCACTTCAGGCAAGATTTGATTTGTGTCTTGAATTCATCAGTCTTCAGGCAATGAATTGGGGAAGCATACAAGGCAGGAGACTGAAAAGACATGTTGCAAAACTACTGGAATTAACTAGAAGAGAATTTAAATGGTTACAAAAGATAGACTTATTTAAAAACTATTCCGGTTATAGAATTTGCTGAGCTTATTCACTATTTAGGTGTAGGCCATGAAGTTAAGTGATGAGTATAGATTGACCTTCATTCACTATTTTTGCTTGTGTAACTGAGTTAAAGGAGTGGCTTGCACTGAACAAAGAGAAAGGAAGATAGGGGAATGTAATAAATGCAATAAATTTAGTTTTAGATACATTGAGTAATTTGTGCCTAAACTTTAGAAGATATGTGGTTGGGATATATAAATGGGTGATAGCTGAAACCACAAGGTTTTGATATTATTCCAAAAAAAGTGTGTGGAGACTAACGCACAAGAACAGACCATGGTGAAAAACTACCCTTTGAATCATTGACAGAGGATGGGAAACCTACATTATTAGGGACTCCTAAAGAATCTTTAAAAATAAATAAATAAATAACAAATAACTAGGTAAATCATAATAAATACATCAAAAAGGAAGGGTCTGGAAAGAATAACGATTTTCTAAAGGAAAAGAAAAGTGTGTATTTGTTGGCTTAAGGCTACCATAGCAACGTACCATGAACTGAGTGGCTCCTCAACAGAACGCTATGGTGTCACAGTTCTAGAGGCTAGAAGTCTGAGATCAAGTGTCGGCAGAGCTGGTGAGTTCTATGAGGAAGAATCTCTGCCATGGTTCTCTCCTAGCTTCTTATGGTTTCTGGCAGTTCTTGGCATGGCATCCCTTGGTATGTAGAAAAATCACTCCAATCTCTGCCCTTATCTTCACATGGTATCCCCCCTGTGTCCATATAAGTCTATGCCCATATCTGTTCCTTTTGTAAGGATGTCCCTCAGATTAAGGGCCAGTATGCCTCAACTTAACTAATTGTATCTGCAACACCACTATTCCTAGTAAGGTCACATTCTGAGGTAGTTGAGATTAGGTCTTCAACATATGAATTTTAGAGGGACATGAGTCAATCCATAATAGGATTTTAGAAAAGGAAGTTTTCAAAAAAAATCATACCTCCAAAGTAGAGTGCAGATTAAAGGTGTGTATTAAACAGGCGCTTGGGTGGCTCGGTTGGTTGAGTACCTAACTCTTGATTTCAGCTCAGGTCATGATCCTAGAGTCATGGGATCGAGCCCCATGAGCCAGGAGCCTGCATAAGATTCTCTCTCTCTCTTCCTCTGCTCCTCTCCCTGTTCATGCTCTCTCACTCTCAAAAAAAAAAAAAAAAAAAAAAAAAATCTACCACCTAGATAAAGTGAATGTAAACTCCTCTTTAAAAAAGCACTTGGATATGAAGTGAAGGACAAATATAAAGTAGCAGTTAGAAGAGGAAGCTTGTTCTCTTAATAAACACAGGAAAAGATAGATGTTTTGACGTGTGGCTTAATTTGGCCTACTATGAAGTTTCTTTTGATAAAGAGCCTCAAGGAGGTTGACCTTGCCAGTCTGGAAGAATTCTATTTCTGCATGCAGACTGGGATAGTAGAATGAGACATAGATTGGAGTCCAAGATCTGCTGTGTGGTCCTGGACCTCAAGTCCCTAAGCTGTAACTTTGAGTGAATGTATTGACTTGTTTGGGACTCATTTATCTGACCTCTAAATTGTAGACCATGGTCCAGCTCTACCAGAATGTTATGAAAATTAAATGATTATATTTGCCAAAAGTACTTTTTTTCAAATTATTATATGTTGGAGATATTTTAAATTTTTTTAATGTTTATTTATTCTTGAAAGAGAGAAGAGACAGCATGAGCTGGGGACGGGCGGAATGAGAGAGGGACACAAAATCCGAAGCAGGCTCCAGGCTCTGTGCTCATGAGCTGTGAGATCATGACCCGAGCTCAAGTTGGACGCTTAACCCACTGAACCCCCAGGCGCCCCCGTATTGTATATATTTTTTTTATATGACCAGCTTCATTGTATTCAAAGCATTATGTTCCTGCATTTCAAAATTATATGTGATAGCTCTACAGTATATATGGGCATTTAGAAAATGCAGAATTAGATCGTTTCTGCTGCTAGAGGATTGTTAGAAACACATCCATTTATCTGAAATACTACATCCTTTTCCTTAAAGTATTAATAGAGTATATTACTGTAAAAATATTTGTTGAATAATAGTGACTATAGCAACAGATCTTAAGAAACCTTTATGAACAACACTGGAAACACAGATCGTGCAGAACGAAGAAGGCAGTGAAAACGGAAACATTTTTGAATTTAATAAAATAGCACAATCTCATTCTGAGCACATGGACACCAGACCTGGAGAAATATTAATAGCTATTGTAGTCACATTTGTAATTCAACAAAATGTAATTTTATATCCTTTCTTAAATCAGAAAACTCCAATAAAAATGATTGATTAAATTAGATGCGTGTAAGTAATGAAAATGATGAACCACAAAAAATGGGAAACCACAATTGTGTTTCAATCACACAAGCCTTAGGTAGTTATTTCCAAACCCTGAAAGCAGACACGCCGCTTAAAGATTAATATTAAATTTTTGAACTTGTGCAGTTTCCCATCTTCAAATGCCTTATTTGTCCCAATATAGCACATCGAAATGTGTCAAACTCCTATTCTTTTTGTCTGCAGCACCAGACTGTCTGACAGGCTAGATAGAACAATGTAAAATGTATCCGAAGGTTTTATGTACCTAAACTAAATATCTGAGGACATATGCTATGTTGTGCAATCAGTGGCTTATGGTGTTATTGTGGGGTCCATGTTGCAAGAAGAGTAATACCTAACCTATCACATTGCACTCCACAGCTTTCTGTGCCCAAAGTGCCTAATAGTGCGGGCACATGGCTTTGTTTGCCTGGTAAGCTGTGGCAGGTAATAAGCATCACTTCCATTTATCACGTATGAAAGGGACAATTAAATATTGTTATTGCTATAGATAATCTCCCTACCCTCGTCATTCTAGCCAGGGGCAGAATACTCCAGCTGAGTACGCTGTGGTGTTTTCAATGAAAAACACCTTCATCCAGCATCATCCTTAGGTGGACCTGTTAGTGGCAGACAGGCTTACACTTAAGAAAATCTGAAAGAAGAAGCTCCCCTCAATGCCTTAATTTTGGGGGATATATTTATATCTCTTCTCTTTTCCAAAATAGGTAGAAGCAGTTCTTCTCCATTTTCCTGTTTTTAAAAATATTTATTTATTTTTGAGACAGAGAGGGGGAGCAGGGGAGGGACAGAGAGAGAAGGAGATACAGCATCCGAAGCAGGTTCCGCACTGTCAATGCAAAACCCTACCCGACGTGGGGCTTGATCCCATGAACACTGAGACTGACCTGAGCTGAAGTCGGAGGCTCGACAGACTGAGCCACCCATGTGCCCCTATTTTCCTTTTAAGTGCAAGTTACTAAATATTTATCTTTTGGAAAATGGAAAGAATATATTACTGATCTCTACTCGAACATATGCTGAAATATAATATAATATAAAATATGTTGAATATACACATTAAATATGATATAATATTTAATATGACATATTAAATATATGATATAATAGTGGGGGGGTGTGGTGACACTGTTCTTGTTGAAATATTCCCTCGTTGTTGCTACACTTGTCATCCACTCATTATACTCTAGGCATCTGAGGGCCCGAGAGATATAATTTTATCTATATTTATTCTCTGTTAAAAGGACTTACCAAGACTAACACAATTATTGACATGCATTTAGGTCAACAAGTATTTATTCAATGGAGAGCATCATGGAAATACATTTAAAATTAAAACATAACTATATATCCTACACTTTAAGCAGAGTGCCCCAAAGGAACCAGAAATATAAAAATCACAGAACACCCTGAGGACCATCAGTGTCTAGGGCTCAGCTAGAAGTTTCTATAGATCACACGTCAACTCTACACAACAGATCAACTTTGCTTTTGGCATCTGAGAAATATTTTCTCATTGTAACGAGCGGCTGACTTTTCCACAGTAAGAGAAATGGGGCAGCATATGGAGAGACAAAAAATGCTACTCCCTGCCATGCAACTCAGTTTTTGTCTCCATTGGAAAAGAGTGGAGTGTCACAAAACTACAGGTTTGTAAGAGGATTTGCACTGATTATCAAAGGAGATATGAAAGCGACTCTGGCACTATCTATTACCCTATATCATTGCCCACTTTCTGGGTAGAAATAACACTTGGGTGTTCTGGGACAATTTTCCGACATGCTTTGCAGTTAGACTTGGTGACTAAGTTGTAGCTGGTAAATATAAATTCTTTCAGAATTATTTTAAAGGATAGTAGTGACTTTCTTTTCTCCTCCTCGTCTTTTTGCTCCCAGGATACGTATGCAATGCTTGAGGAATCGGCCATTGGTGGTGAGCCTTGAGAATGGAATCGCACTCCATCCCACAGCCCCTCTCAACAGCAAAGCAACAGGAGAGAAAGTCTTGGTTCCTGACCCTGTGCACAGTGGAGCTGCCATTTCAGTTTGATCACCTCCCCACCTAGAGATGGGATCACCAGATGTATCCCCAGAGAACTCCGTGTATCTATCTCTTCACATCCCTTCAACTTTTCCAAGCCTAACTTAGGAGTTCCTTTTTAGTGATCTCTACTGTGGGAAATGGAAATATTCACCTCCCAACGTTTGCATTCTGACATTGGCTTATTATTCTAAGTAACTAGGATCAGATTGGCCTAATCCTATCTCTTTCGTTTCACATATTCTCGTCCCCTTCCTCATCGTTTTGTCTGGTTGTTGTCATTTTCTAGCATCTTAACTGTTGTCTTGATTTCCAGTTCCATCTCCTGTGTACAAGGAAGGAACATGATCCATATCAGATACTTCCCTAAAACTTCAATTTCAGCAGGCATTTGGGGACAGGGTTCTACTCCCACAGTGGGAAGAAGCAATTTGTGACCTTAAAGAGCAGGTGAATTCCAATATTGCCATTCCCTAATTCCTTTGTCAATATAGAACTTTGCTTCTGGTTATAATACGGCTAATTAATACTGTCATGTTAAATACTTTTTTCTTTTTCAAATAAACATGATGTAGCTGGTAGTCTAGCTAGGTTCAAAAGATTGGCAAAACAAAGAGTCAAGAAGCAATCGCAGCTCCAAAGTCCCCAGAAAGCCAGGATCCAATGGGATACTACTGTGCAGCATGGGCCTTGCCTCCTATGAGCCAAATAGGAGGTAGAGGTTTCGCCAATCTTCTCTAATTTAATTTATTTATTTTAAGTTTTTTAATGTTTATTTATTTTTGAGAGAGAGAGAAAGAGAGAGAGAGAGAGAGAGACAATGAGCAGGGGAGGGGTGGAGAGAGAGAAAGACACAAAATCTGAAGCAGGCTCCAGGCTCTAAGCTGTCAGCACAGAGCCCGACGTGGGGCTGGAACTCAGAACCACGAGATCATGACCTGAGCTGAAGTCAGACGCCCAACCGACTGAGCCACCCAGGTGGCCCAAATCTTCTCTAATTTTAAATAACTCCCTCTTACATTGGACCAACGTGACCTAAGTGTCCTCACCCACTCAAATACCATCTCTTTATGAAGATTTTCATGAACATTTCAGTGCACAGTCTCATTAATTATTCTGTACCACCCCTATGACATTTAATTTTTTTTTCAACGTTTATTTATTTTTGGGACAGAGAGAGACAGAGCATGAACGGGCGAGGGGCAGAGAGAGAGGGAGACACAGAATCGGAAACAGGCTCCAGGCTCCGAGCCATCAGCCCAGAGCCTGACGCGGGGCTGGAACTCACGGACCGCGAGATCGTGACCTGGCTGAAGTCTGACGCTTAACCAACTGCGCCACCCAGGCGCCCCACCCCTATGACATTTATACCTATTAGCATCTTGCATTGTTTCAAAATATTATATGTGCAATCGTTCTTATTACTTCTGTTTTTCTATTTCAGTTGCAATAGTTATACGTTTTGCCAATCTCATTGTCCCAATTAGATTAATGTTAACCTGCATACCCAAGCAAAATTGATCTACCTAGTGCTTCATAATGATAACTTGTATAATTTGACTTCCAGAAATATTATTTTAAATATTCTGTTTGAAAAGTTTTTTTTTCTCTCTCTTCTCATTTCATATGAATAGTGTTCATCCTTTAAAAGCCAGTCAAAGCCAGTGACTTTGAAGGAGTCACTAATTCTACAAGAGTATCTGACCTTGAGTATGCTAGTTGTCAGAAAAAAAAATACAATAATTTGTTTGGAAGCTTCCTTCCTTCCTATATCTATAAATATACCTTATATGTTTTTGTCTATCATCTTATTATGTCTCCATGAATCTATTTTCATATCTAGCCATATATCACACACTTGCACATGCTAAGAAAATTATTTTCCATTGAGATATCACTTCACACCTACTTAGGATTACTATAATAACAAAGACAGACAATATAACAGGTGTTGGCAAGGATGTGGGAAAATTGGAACCCTCCTACAGTGCTGAGAGGAATATAAAACACCAAAGTTACTTTGTAAAACATTTCTTCAAAAAATTAACGAGTTGCCATATGATCCATCCATTCTAATCTTAGATGTATACCCAAGATGACTTTAAAAATATGTACACAAATTTATACACAGATGTTCATACCAACGTTATTCCTAATGCGTCCCCAAATGGAAACAAGCTTAAGTCTACCAACTAATTAATGCATAAACAAAAATATGACATATCCACAGAATAAAATAGTATGCAGCAGTAAAAAGGAAATTTTCGTGCCAATTCATGCTACAGCATGGTTAAACCTTAAAAACATTATACTAAGTGAGAGAAGCCATACACAAAGAGCCATATATTTTATTATTCCATTTATATGAAATACTAAGAGTAGCCGAGTCAACAGAGGGAAGTAGATTAGTCATTACCAGGGGCTAAGAGGAGGGAAGCATGGTAGTAACTACAATACAGTTTCTTTTTGAGTGACAAAAAATGTTCCGGGACTAGAGAGTGGTAATGGTTGCCTAACTTTTTGAACTTCCTAGAAACCACTGAACTGCACACTTTAAAAGGGTGTATTTTAGAGAAAGGGGACTGTATCTCAGTACATATGAATTATGATTATGGGCAAACATTTGTTGTTTGACTTATTAGTAATTAATTCTATTTCCATAGTAGATATTCAAAATATTATCACTATCAATTGATAAATGGTTAAATAGATAATTGGCTGAATTAAAAGTGATGAAATAACCAATGCTTATCTTTTTTGTTTATCATTTTTGCCAGCCTCCTATCTGGAATACACTTTCTTAACAAATAACACCAAGTGTAAGTGCATTAGTATTTTTGTGACTGTCAAAAATTGTCGTGCTTGCTTAAGGAGACATAAAGAATGTAAATGAATCCTGCCCCTGAAAGTGTGAGCTCTTAGTGTTTGATCTCAATTTCTCAGAGACATTCTCTGTAGTTGTAGTTAGGATCTTGGCCATGTGGCAGCCTTTAAAATCACACGGATTCAATCAATGAGTTCATGGATGTTTAACGACAGGAACCTGTAAATAAAGGCAACTGAAGTTATAAGTTTAGTGATAAAAGCTTGCACGGGTAAGCAATTGAAAGTCTTCTGCAGTCAGCCTTGCAGAGCAATCCCTGGTGAAATGGTAGAATTTCATCATCCACCCCCTTTATCCAGTTCTGAGTCCCCGAAAGTCAGATACAATGTCTGTGTTTGCTTCACTTCAGTTATTCACAAGAAGTATCTGTGCAAAAATATTTGCAAAAGATGACTCAAAATTAAAACAACATAAGCTGGGGCACCTGAGTGGCTCAGTCAGTTAAGCTTCTGACTCTTGATTTCGGCCGCAGGTCATGATCTCATGGTTCATGAGATCGATCCCCACATCAGGGCCATGCACTGACAGCATGAGGAGCCTGCCTCGAATTCTCTCTCTCCCTTTGTCTCTCTGCCCCCCCCCTTCTGGCTCTCAAAATAAATAAATACACATCAACAAACATAAACAAAAGCAAAATAGGAGGCCTGACTATGGCAAGAGACACTGTTTTGAATACCAAAACATAAAAACTGTGGGAGGATTTCACTCTTTGCGGCGCGAGTTATTGAACGGCAAAAAACGCAGAGAGAATTCCACAGAGAAACCACAGAGCATTCAGATAGGAAGACACGAAGATACCTGAATCCTTTTTAAGACTTCAATAAGCTGAATCATCTACAGAAGCGAGTAACAATGCTGCCAAGTGCTGTGGTTCTTTCCATTAAAGGCTTTTTTAATTTGCTCCTGACAGGTAGCTGAAGTATATTTTAAATTAGTGTGTTATTTTTTTTTTCTTTCTACTTTGTTGGTAGAGATTTCATATCCTTTCACTCATATCAATTTTTATTGAACACACAAAAGCATTGCAGGGAAATGAGCAAACTGCATAAATGATAGTCATTTATTGAGATGGCCAAACTTCCTTAGCCAAGCACTTCTCTGTCGTGTGGTTTAATTTAGTATGGTTTAATTTGGTATTGAGAAACAAAGCTGACCTCGTGTTTGTGTTATAGAATTTGCATGAATGCAATTAAGTATAAATAGCGTTAGCCTAGAATTATAATATCACAACTTTTCAAAGAATATATGGGAAAAAATAACTTTTTGTTATTAAGAGATGTTCCAAAGATATGTGATGAAAAAAAAAAATGACATCTAGAACAGGCTATTAAATAAAGCTTTTAAGGAACAATTAGGCCTTTGTCCCTTTCGATTTCTTCCTTATTAATTTTAACTATCATTAATTGAATTTTTGTTCAGCATGCTGAGTAGAAACCATCCCTAAAATAAAATATTTTGTAGAGACATCATTTTTTCAATCTTTCCTGATACAAATGAGAAATAGAAAGGCATTACGTACTGAATCTTTGCTGGGGATTATAATATTTATCAGGGAAGTAGGTAAATGATAAAAACAAAGAGTAATAAATATTTGTTTAGTCAGTCTATGCTTAAGTAAAGTCTTATCCAACAAAGATCAAAAGTCAATGGCTTAAAATCCTGGTTCTCCTTTTACACTCTATACGTTCATTGGAAAATTTATTTAATCTTTAGGAACCTTGATATCTTTCTTCATCTTGAAAAAAAAAAACTAAATTCTGGGGATCATGGAACCAGTGTTGGAGAATTAAGGCAAAAAAGGAAATAATTGAGTCTAGTGCCTGCTATAGAACAGTATGCAAATCCTCCTTTCCACTCCTCTGTTCCTCCTTTCTCCTTTCCTTTCTTCCTTCCTCCCTCCCCTCCTTCCTTGCTTCCGTCTTATACCTCCCTTATGCCACTTATTTAATTTACTAGCTGGTGGGACCATTTTGTCACCTCATTAGGCCCTAGTCACCCATAGTTTTGGCCATCTCATTTTACATTATGTTAATGTGACAAGCACACATTTTACCAGATTATTTTTTATAAAAGATGTAATTTATTATAGTTTTTATTTTAGGTTAATTGGCTATTTAATTCAGGTTGTCCATCATTTCTTAGAAGTCAGAGTATTCCTTCCAACACTTCAGTGAGGTATGTAACCAATGGAATTTTTTTTCAATTGAGTATTAAATTTAGCAATGAAATGCAATACTTTTCTAGATATTTATTAATATGAATTTTGTAAGATCTCTGTTATGTTATGTACTTAATATACATTTTTCTTCACCTGTCAAAAATTCTGTAGGTTTTTGGAAAAAGAGCCTTGAATGCACTGTGGATTAATTCCACTGGTTGCTTGATCCTTATAAAAGCACGTGAAGTCATTACCATCATGGTAGTGGTTCAACAGAAAAGTTAACAAACTTTATTGTTGTTAACGAATGATTGATAGCTCACTCGTTATCATATAACAGAAAATGGATGATTGAATGTAAAAAGGTCCGCCATGACTACTTAAACGCTACTGAACTGTCTATATTGACAACTCCCTTTTATTCACACATTGGTTGCATTTAGTTAAATGTAGTCTTGAAAATGATCATTTAGAAATTTCAAGACTCTTGGCTGTTGGTAACTTTGTGCACAATTCATTTTCACAATTCGTGATTCTGGGAAAG